ACCACTTTGCTGGATCCAAGTCGCCACTGAACATGAATAGGAACGCCGCTTTGCTCGGACCAAGCCGAAGAACAACAACGACGCACTTTTTAAGAAAATATAATTTATTAGATTACAGAAGCTGAACATCGCTCTTCTAAGACTCCAAGAGGGTAGTGTTAGAATTAGGACAACCTGCAAACATACTCTATAACTATATACACAGATCTATTCAGTTTTATACTTTACAACCATTATATGAGCTCGATGAAATAGAAATTTCAACACTCTGTGTAAAAAATATGAAACAGTCAGAAATTGAACACCTAGGTATGCAAAAATATCCAAACAGTAGTACTTTACAAAATTCATGTCTCTAGATTTCATGACAAGGTGATCTAATTGACCTTCTTCTGCAACCAGCTTCACCCAATGTGATATTTCCGCTCGCGCAGCAGCTGGACGTCCAAGGAGATATTTAGCTATTGTAGATGCCTTACGAGCATACGTGCTAGAGATAGAAACAGCAAAGATAGCACAACGGCTTTAAGAAAATTTAATTACCCATTCACAGGAAGTGTAGCTCGGATAGCCGCAATCAGGTTATCCATATTGAGGTCATGTTTATCAATCATAACACCTAATCCTCGGCTCTGCATATTCTTCGCATTCAAGATTTGATCAACAAAAAGTGGAATCGCTACCATAGGCTTGCCATAAGAAGCCGCTTCCAAAATTGAATTCATCCCAGCATGCGTGATGAAAAGCGACAAACGCTTGTCTGCTACAAAGCAAAAAGGTGTTTCGGAGTCCGAGTATATCTGTGATTAAAAAGATTGAGAAAGTGTGAGTCGAACCAACCAAGTAAGTCCACTTGAGGTAGCCATTTCATCGTATGAATGTTTGAATATTTTTCGAAAAGGATAGCATCATTTTCATCCTCATATTTCCATATGAAGGTTGTGTTAGGAAAAGAGGCAAAGGCAGCAATTATATCTGAATAACAAAACGAAATTAACACCAACAAATTCAATTAGTAATTCAAAA